AGCCCTCTTTGTGTTACTCTGCTTTCTCTTTCCCCTCCCTCCTTCCTTTCATCAGCTGCTGGCTGTGTCCTGGTGTTTTGAATTCAAGCTGCTGAGGAACAGATCTAAGGGCTTTGGTTGGTCATCACCCAATACAGGCCACCAGACAGCCCACATGCTGACTGTCCCCGGGATAGGTGTCTACCTGTTTCATTCAGGTGAGTCCTGCCGCCTGGGTACCTCATGGTACAGAGCCCTGAAACAATGGAGGAGAGCGTGGACATATTCAGTGAGGCTTCCTGGGTTGAAGTAGTGAATCCAGGAACTATTGTTTAGATAATCCTGTATTCATACATCAGAATTTACGCGTTCACTTCTCCACTCAGTGCTTGCTGCAGGAGTGGTCTCTCTTCCGTGAGGAGGCAAAGCTTTGGTCCCCCACTTTTCATGGAGACAACTTCCCCCTTCTCCCTCTTTCCTTTTCCCTCTTCAGGGAAGTGTTTCTTGTCTTCATAGCACCTGATTCCTGTCCCGGTTTTATCTCAAAATGGTGGTGATTATTTTCTGCCTTCACAGAGAATGTGATTCCTGATAGAATCTCTAAGTGTTTTGAGCAGGGCTGAAACCTTTTAACCAGGCATCTGGTTACAGACCTTGTGATTTCTGAGAGGTGTCATGTCCACCTTTGTCCTCAGGAAGCCACAGAAAACAAATGCTGCCCTGGGAAATGCTGGTGTTGCTGGGGTTCACCATCCCTTTGGTCAGCTGCACTCATCTTTGGGGAACTCACATGTACACTGACAAACGTTCACACACATGGGGTAAGTCACAAAGTGTGAGTCAGCTCCAGCACACCACAGACCTTGGGCCTCGGTTCACCTCCAGAAGTTTGGCCCCTGCCTCCCTCTGGGCTTTCACAGCAGTGTGGGCATTCTCCCCATCCCGCACTTCCTACCTTGTTTGGTAATTTTCTTTTCATGTGCCTCTCTGTTGCCACTAGAGGGTGCACTCTGGAAAGCAGAATATTACTGCCTTTTATGCAATAATCACTTGCTGAACAAAGAAATGTACCATTCTCTGGACCCATCCCTGTTCTGGGTCCCATTGTGTCAATGACTCCCAAGAGGTTTCAGAGCACATGCAAACATGATAGGAATCTGGAAGGACAATGATTTAGATGGACATTAAATGAAGACTGAGGGAGAACAGGGCAGGTTGCTTTAAGGGTCTTAATCCAATGAGCTGAAAATTTAAAAGAAAGTATGTCTTTCACTCAAACCTTCCAAAAAACACTGTATAAGCATGGACTTGGAGTGGTGGGGCTCGGCTACAACACAGGAAAAAAGACTGTGGGGTCCGAATGAGTCATGTAATCACTGATCAGCAGACTGCTGCTGGACTCTGTGAATGGATTATAGTGTTCAGAGAAAAGGAAGGGAGGGAAGGAGAAAGGGAAAAGCGGGGAGGGAGAGGAAGCAGCCAGCAAACCTTCTCCAGTGCCTTCATCTTAATTGGATCTTGGGGATGTTATCCCAGAAGAATACAAACTTTCTAAACTGAGTACAACTCACTTTCCAAACTTTAAATGACTTTAGGGACTAAAATGGTCCCAAAGAACAGACTGGAATTTAAATTATCTTCTAAGGGCACTGTCCAGTCCTTTGGAGAGTGTACCTTGAACACACAGGCAGGTGGAGGGGAGAGGACTGGCTGGACCCTTCACCTGTCACACATCTGAACCCTCACCCTGGAACTTCAGACCCAGTGTCACTATGTTTGACATGTGGCCTCTTCCCAGCCCTTAGGAAACAAATCATTGTTGCTCACCACTTTTCTTATAAAGGTAAGTGCAGGTTTTGATCATACCAAAGTTTTCATAAGCACAGCTCCATTTCTGCCGTCAAACTTGATTGTCATAGAATGGGGGCTTGAGAAGGGGAGATAGGAAGCCCTTTCACTGGTGTGGTGTTAGTCTTGTGGAGTCAAATAGACCCATCAAACTGCAAGGGTCTCTAAGGTCATCTGGCTTTGCCCTGCTTTGTGCAGAGGGGAAAGGGCTTGCCCAAGACCCCATAGCTCATAGCTTTCTTCTCATGCAGTTGTCCCTTCTGGGTTAAAAATTGGGGCGCTTTCTCCTTTTGTGCTTAAGAATTCAAAGCTCAGCAATATAATAATAATAAGTCTTGTTTCTGGATCTGATGATGAAGACACAGAGGGAGTATTTTCCTTACCTGATCCAGGGTCTTGGGAGAGGCTGGAGGACTGGCTGACAGTGAAAACCCAACCTGGGACAGACTTATTGCCCCAGGACATGCATCACAGGTAGCAGTGTGTCCTGGGCACTGGAGCCCAGTGTGTCCTGGAAAACTTGAGGATTCAAGCTGGGGGCTGTTCTCAGTACTAACCTGCTTTTGTAGTCAATTTCTAGATCATATATGTGCCTCTTAAGAGCTATACTGATTTTTTTAAAGGCCCTGGGAGAGGAATAGAGACTACTCTTGTTTATGTTCATGCTGAAGCCACACTGTTTCTGGATATTTGGAGGGCTTTCTGTGGAAGAGGGATTAACGCTGCAAAGAAACAGATTTTAGCTCAATATCAAAGAGGAACTACTTCCAAGTGAAAAGATCCTCACCAGGAAGTTCATAGCACCACATCACTCAGGGAGTCAGCCAGGCTGGAGGACTGTGAGGAATGTAGTAAGGGGTTTCGACTTTGGGAAGGGAGCAGATTGCTAAGGCCTATTGTCAGTAGCATTAGAGTGATTTTTATAGTCAATGGCAACGATGATGACAACAACAATGATGATGATGTAATTACTTATGTAATTAATTATGGTGATCACCACTCCCTCACCCCTACTAGATTTTGAGCTCTTTGAGGTCAGGAGCTATGTCTTTCATTGCTGTGATCCCGGCACCTAGAATTCTACCTGGCCCAGAGCAGATGCTCAATAAATGCCTGTCAACCTGAATTGAATTATTTTGGCTCTGACTTGGTAACAGCTATAACACTAAGCAAAAAGGGGAGTGTCTCAGCTCCCCATGAAGGAAGTTCCCCTGCACACAGAGAAAGCAGCCAGATGACTGAGAGCACTTGGAACTATGGACATTTGGGACGTTCATGAGTAATTTAGATACAGAGCAAATAAAACTGAATGCCCAGCACCCTCATTGTTGCCTATAAGTTTTCTACTGGTCCAGAATAAATCCGTTTGGGGAGTGCTTAGCAGTCTGCGGAGAGATTCAAGCTTCCCAGAAAGAAGAGCTGACAGAGCTGGACTCAAGGCTCTGGGAACAGTCTCAGGGGGAAGCCAGTGCCTCTGGCGCAGGCAGACTGAGAATGACCAGGAGAAGGGATGTTCAGTCAGAACTCTCCTTCAACTTGGCCACAGTGCACACAGTGCCTTCCTAAATGTAAAAAAGGACCTATAGCATGTTCAGACCTTGACACTGTGGACTGGGCTAATTCTCTCAGCAGCAGAGGTGCTCTTGGCTCCCACTGGCCCAAAGGAAAGGGCACGCTTGACTTTCAGTTTTTTTCCTGTTGATTTTCTTTTTTTAAAGCTTTTTAAATTAAATGTATTAGGATGGCATTGGTTAACAAAATTATAATCTGTATATTACATTGTATGTTTACTGCCCAAAGTCATATCTCCTTCTGTGGCCATATATGACCCCTTTTAACCTTTACTACCTACCGCCCCCCCCATCCCTCTTTCCCTCTGGTAACCACCATTCTGTTGTCTGTGTCTATGAGTTTTTGTTTGTGCGTCCTGCTTCTTCATTTGTTGCTTTCAGTTTTATATTCCACATATGAATGAAATCAAATGGTTCTTGACTTTTGCCGTCTGACTTATCTTGCTGCTTTAGCACAATATTCTCAAAATCCATACTGTCACAAATGGCAGTATTTCATCTTTTCTTATGGCAGAGTAGTATTCCATTGTACGTATGCACTACATCTTCTTTATTCAGTTATCTATCAAAGGACACTGCAGTTGTTTCCAGGTCCTGACCACGGTGAATAATGTAGCTTGGTGGCCCAGTATGGCCTGGGGAGCTCCATGGCTGGCACACAGCACCACTGTAGCCACAAGAGCCTAACCTTTGCAAGCTCACAAGCCACAGTTTGAATCACCCTGATGATCTTCATTTATGTTGTCTTGTTGCCTGTGTGCCTATTTTTTTAAAGTGTACACCAGATGTTGTATTGACAAATTTATTTGGGGAAATGATTTAGAGACTGCAGTGATGTTACCTTCCTTCACAGTGGATTTATATTTGCTTCTGTTAGATATTTGGGAGCACGAAAAATCTGGGGCAACCTCAATCCAATTTCAGGGCTTGGGAAGACTTGAAGCTAGTGACAAAACCTGTAAATGTGTGTTCTTTCTCATTCATTCTTATTCTTATGGTGCTGCCCTAGGGTCCAGGTGGGGGGCCGTCCCCTCCCAACAGAAGGAAGTTTAGTCAGGAACAACTTCATGGTGGGCCTTACCCTTCAAAACCTGTTCCCCACCTCCAGGGGCCTGTCAGTAGTGCTTCCTGGCCTCTCAGTGACCGCCTCCAGAGGCTGCAATTGCCCCAGTTGAAATGTATTCTCAAATGCTGGTCTTACTTCTACCAGCTTAACTCATAGACACCAGGGGTCCTCATCCTGGTGACCATCCTTGACTCCCTTGAGTTCCTATTTATCCCAGAATTATGACCCTATGATTCCTTGTTGTTTTATTGCTTTGCCAATGCTTTACACAGATGTTTTATATAGTTTGTCCAGTTTTTATAATCGCCATCTGCAAGAAAGTCCAAATTAACTCATTTGTTCTTACTGAAGGCAGAAGTTAAATATTGACCTCTACTACACTTTTCCTAGAAGCCTGCAGAGAGGACTGAATGATCAGAGCTAGTCTCCAGTTGCTCAGCAGGATGGAGATTTTGCCTGGCTGCCCAGGCATGTTTGGAGCCAGAGAGTACTGAGTTGGCCTTCTGAGTCACTGCAAGTGACAGAGTAGATGCACCATGGACAAGTCCAATCGCACCTCCCCGGTGGTGGGGTTCGTTCTCCTGGGCCTCTCTGCCCACCCAAACCTGGAGAAAACATTCTTTGTGCTCATCCTGCTGATGTACCTGGTGATCCTGCTGGGCAATGGGGTCCTCATCCTGGTGACCATCCTTGACTCCCGCCTGCACACACCCATGTACTTCTTCCTGGGGAACCTCTCCTTCCTTGACATCTGCTACACAACCTCCTCAGTCCCCCTCATTCTTGACAGCTTCCTGACCCCCAGGAAAACTATACCCTTCTCAGCCTGTTTTGGGCAGATGTTTCTCTCCTTTGCCATGGGAGCCACAGAGTGTGTGCTTCTGAGCATGATGGCGTTTGATCGCTACGTGGCCATCTGCAAACCCCTTAGATACCCTGTGGTCATGAGCAAGGCTGCCTACGTGCCCATGGCTGCTGGCTCCTGGGCAGCTGGTGTCACCAACTCAGTAGTTCAGACATCCCAGGCCATGAGGCTGCCCTTCTGTGGGGATAACGTCATCAACCACTTCACCTGTGAGATCCTGGCTGTCCTGAAGTTAGCCTGTGCTGACATCTCCATCAATGTCATCAGCATGGTCGTGGCCAACATGATCTTCCTTGCAATCCCAGTCCTGTTCATTTTTGTCTCCTATGTGTTCATCATTGCTGCCATCCTGAGGATCCCCTCAGCCGAGGGAAGGAGAAAGGCCTTCTCTACCTGCTCTGCCCACCTCACAGTCGTGATCGTCTTCTATGGGACCATCTTCTTCATGTATGGGAAACCCAAATCCAAGGACCCACTAGGAGCAGACAAACAGGATCTTTCAGACAAGCTCATTTCTCTCTTCTATGGGGTGGTGACCCCCATGCTGAACCCCATCATCTACAGCCTGAGGAACAAGGATGTGAAGGCCGCTGTGAAGAACCTGGTCCATCAGAAACACCTAACTAAGTGACCGTCACAGATTCCCGGGCTGTCAGAACGCAAGAGCTCCGAACTCCTCATGGTACTTGTGGGAAAACAGTAACCCAGGGAGGTCCTCGGGCTATTAGTGGAAAGAGCCTTTTCATTTCTGGCACTGCTGATTAGTTTATTGGCTTCATACAAAACTACACTGTATCATATCATAGCTACATTTTCCTGCCCAAATCTTAAATCCTCTGATCCCAGAACTTGATGAATATCTATAAAGAGTTACAGATGTGGGCAAAAGAAACAAACAAAAATTGCAGTGGTAAGGGCCTTAGAGAATATTGTCTTTCCCTGTGTAGAACTGCTGCTTACTCTCTTCTGCTCTGGTCTCATCCCAAAGACCTTTGCTCTGATACAGGGATCGACTGGAAAATGTCATCTGCCTCAACATATAACAGTGATCATTAGCACCAGGGCAGAAATGCCACTCATATATTAGCACGAGAAATGGCAGGCCTTATCTTGAGCAGCGGCTTTGTTTTGATCTAATGGAATCTTGTCATTCACTATTGGCTCTTCTTTATTGTCACTGCAGGGAAGCTCGGGGGCAGACATGCCACCTCGCCGTAGCAGTTAGCAGAATGCTGCATGACTGAGTGCCAGCAGCTCCCAAACTTTCATCCATGCCGCTGATGTGGCACATGGATGGCAGTTACGTACACCCAGCACGCACTCCATAAATATGTCCACACCGTGATGAAACCCCAAAAAGATCGTGGGGAAGCCAATGCAAAAATCATTCTTAACTCCACAGCTAACAAGAAGCCAGCAGTAAGAGTTACTCCCTACAACCAGTGGCGCAGGTAAGACTGGCCATGGGAACAGTGTAGCCCGCAGAGCTCTAAGTCCACGACTTCCTCTTACACTCAAGGAGCATATTGAAATAGTATGTATTTACCGCACAACAGAGATTATTTTTAACCCTCTTAACTTTATATTTATAAGAGTCAGTCATTACCAAACTTTGGTCCTTTAACTATTATTAGTATATATCAGGCTGTTTTCTCTTTTTCTTTCCTCCCTCTTCCCTCTTCATCCTCATGTTAAGTCAGCTCTCCCCCCTTACTGGTTGACAGTTGCCTCCTAAGTTGTATTCATTTTCTATTGCTGTATAAAGCCTATATATTTAAAACCTATTTGAAACAAATAAAATGGCAGTTTGGAATCCACATTACCTACGAATGTAATTGCATTATCTAAAGTATCAGGAAAAAAAAAAATCTTTGTATTGAAAATGGCATCTCTTTTAAGAATGGTGTGCAGGGTGGGGCAAAAGTAGGTTTACAGTTGTGAGTACCCGAAACAGAGTTTATCTTGTATTATCATTTATTAATTATTGTATTATTTTCCGTATGAACAATTGTAAACCTACTTTTGCCCCACCCTGTAAATATGCGTGTGCATGTCTGTGTGTCTGTGTGTGATTTTATAATTGGAATGGGAAAGAAAAGATTAATAACAATGCATTGATTTGTGGCTGCCCAACTTAAGCTTTCTTCCACAATTTACTAACATAACTCAGTTATTTCCTATACTCGGAACTTTATTCCAATCAGTCATTTCCCAGGTTTTGACTTCCTGTTGTGACAAGAATACATGACTACCCCAAAATCTCTCACAACCATGTCTGATATCCAAAAATGCTTTCAAATATTTCCTCTCTACAGAAGGAGCCCATTGGCACCACACTGCATATTATCCACTATTATAACTGAGGAAAAGATTTTAAATTGCCTCCCTCACTTTTATTTACCCCAGTGCATTTGTGTAACCCTTGGTTAGGTAATCAGAGGACATCCTTCCTTATCTAGCTCTGATTAGTCAAAGATCGCAATAAGACCATTATCATCAGCACGTCAGTTTTAGCTGTCAGAATAAGATGTCTCTGATGGGATGTTTTGCTGTATCCCATAAGTTTTAGTTCATTGTGGTGGGGTTTTTTGTTTGTTTGTTTGTCTGGATGTATTTTCTTATTTCCTTTTTTATTTCTTAGTTGACCCAATGAGTGTTCATGAGTGTGTTGTTTAATTTCCATATATTTGTGAATTTTCCAGTTTTCCCTTTGCTATTGATTTTTAGTTTCATTCCATTGGGGTCAGAAAAGATAACTTGGTATGCATTCATTTATATTTAATTTGATAAGGCTAGCTTTATAACTTAACATGTGATCTGTCCTGGAGAAAGTTCCATGTGCACTTGAATTGACCACAATCGCAGCCTCCTTGCTGCCCAGAGGTGGGTAGGGCGTCTGCTACAAAGAGGAAAGGGGTTGTACCCCAGGAGGAGGTGAGCAACAGGACACAAGGAGGGTCTGGGGCTCTTTGTTGGGGACTCTGCTTCTCACTTATTCTCTGTGCTGTCTCTGCATTTACCTTTGTTTTGTGGTCTCCACCTCATCTAATTCACTGTGTTAATAATGTAGTTAGAGCAAGAGCAAGTCCTATTAATGGTTAATAATAGGGTTGGAAATGAGGATTTTAAAACACTTTGCGCCCCCTCCCCCTGAATTTTAGAGAGAGAGAGAGAGAGAGAGGCAGGCATCGATGTGAGAGAGAAACATCGATCTGTTGCCTCCTGTATGTGTCCTCACTGGGGATCAAACCCACAACCTAGGTATGTGCCCTGACCTGGAATCGAACCCAAAATCTTTTGGTGAATGAATGGGATGATGTTTTAACCAACTTAGCCATCTGGCCAGGGCCCAAAAATATTTTTAAAATTTCCTTATAGTCTGGGCACACATTGTTCAGGTTCAATTAGCCTCAATTCTATTAAGACTTCTATTCTTAAATTCTCCGTGATATCCCTAATCAATACAAGTGAATTCTTACTTAGGAAAAAAATAAGACACAAAATTTACTTGAGCTTGTGCAAGTGAATCTTTGTTCTTATAACAAAAACAGCAAAAGTAAATAGGTTGGGGTGAAAGTTGAGGAAAGAGTCAGAGGCTCAGAGTTGATACTGGCCATAGACTCAGGGACCATCAACATTCCCAGAGGACACTCTGGGGACCAGGGCCGGTCCCATTCATTTCAAATTACACCTGATGTTTTGTCCCCTTGGGGGTTAAGTCTAGGACCCTTAGTATGTGGAAACCCTATTAACATTCCAAGTTGAATTAATACAACAGCTGTGTCTAGCACTCCCAAAGAAAATAAGATAGCTGTTCAAAGAGCTGCTGGGTGGGGGAGGATCAGGATTGGAGTAGGCAGGTGGCTCAGGTCAGCACAGACTGGGGTTGAGCGCCCCCTGCCCTGTCCCTTTAGAGGTGCTCTCAGTTTAGGCCAGGCAGCCAGAGACCTGCCTTCCAATTGTCTCCAATACAATTTGCCACTGCTGAGTGCTTGACTGAGCTTCTATCCCTCTCTGGGCCTCAGTTTCCTTATCTGTAAAATGAGAGTGAAACATCCCATCCATCTCACTAGACAGTGTAGGTGAAAACACCTGGGGAAAGCCCAGAGAGGGAGAATTCATGGCTCACAAGCCACAATCTGCCACTCATTGAATAGGGGTCTCCTCTGGGCTCGATTTCCCATTCATGCTTTCCACAGTTCGTGGGCAATCGCTCCAAACTTCTAGCACCACTTAGGGTACTATTTGAAGGAGACGTGGGTGATATTGTGGCTCTGCTACTTGTGCTTGCTGCAAACGTGCCATCTGGTGGACATTTCTGCAAGCTCCTGAGATCAGAGCTTCTTGAACTTTATTTAATGTGCTCATGGGTAACCCAAGGATGTTGTTGAAAATGCAGATTCTGTTTCAGTGAATCTAAGGTGGGGTCCGAGATTCTACATCTCTGGCAGGTTCCCAGGTGATGCCTGTGTTGCTGCTCTGCAGGCCACACTTTGAGCAGCAGGCCCTAGATGACTTGGGACCAGAGCTGAGGGACTAAAGGAAGAGGCAGGGAAGCAACTTCTGTGTAGAAGTCTCCTGCTGTGTGCCAAGTCCTTGGGCATCAGCTACCCAGTCTAATCTCTCCAATGTTGGGGCTGAAGTTTGCCCTATGACATCACTTCTCTTATGGATCAAGAAGAATTGTCGCTTCATCAACGTGTTCATCTTTTTACTTGCTAGCACAGAGTGGTGACTCCAAGCTTCTCACGTTAGGACAGAAACCACGCATTCCTATTCAAGTAGCCCTAAAATGCACAAGTGCAAAGATATAAAAATGTGCTCAAGTGCAAAATAAGAGGCATAAATATAGCAGAGGAAGAAATACTGTCAAATTTTGCAGAAAACACAATTCTCATATTTTTAAAAATTAACCAGAAAACTATTAGCAATAATATGAGTTCAGAAAAGTTAAGGAGATAGAAATAACTTCTCAAAAATCCATTGTGTTTCTACATATCATCAATAGACAGAAAAAAACCCAACAGGAATAATAATGTATTTATAGTAAGTAGTAACATGTATCAAAGAATTGGGAACAAACATAATTCCAGACATGACAGGCTGAGTCAATAAATTTTTTTATTTAAATTGTGGCCCTAGCCAGTTTTGCTCAGTGGTTAGAGTGTTGGCCTGCAGACTGAAGGGTCCCCAATTCAGTTCCAGCCAAGGGCACGTTCCTCGGTTGTAGGCTCAATCCCAGTCCTAGTTGGGGTGGGAGGTAACCAATCAATCTGTCTCTCTCACATCGATGTCTCTCTCTCCCTCTCTTTCCCTGTCTCCCTTCTACTCTCGCTGAAAAGCAATGGAAAAATATCCTTGGGTGAGAATTAAAAAAAAAAAAAAGTGTTATATGAGTATAAAGTAAGGCAGAGGGATTGACCAGGGCTTGGGAGAAGAAATACTACAATGATCTCAGTTTCTACAGTGGGAACTCTCAAATTGTAACAAACAGAAGAACTTCTTTAATATGCATACTTCTGGGCTCTACCCACAAAGATTTGAATTTTGCTATGTCTGAGGTAAGGCCAATAGGAAACCTGGGCTTAGAAACATAGTTATTCAGTGTTTTTAATCCCCCAAAAGACTCTA